AGCAGATTTTATTGTTAACGTTATAAGTAGCTTGGGGTTTTTTTTCTTCCAATATCTGGTACATAATCATAAGGCTTTTAAAAAATGTAATGGTTTACTTTATGTACCACGGTTTGTTTAGGTAATTGGTTTTTGCATTTGAATTTCCCTGCTTTTATTGCTTACGTGTAGTTTGTGTGTTAGTTTAATCTTCGGATTATGCCAGTTTCTCTCTCACATTTCTGTCTTCAACTTTACAAATCTTTGATTAGATTGTTTGGATATCTGTTAAAGCCAGTCATGTTAAAAATCAGAGCTTATGGGAGAACACACTGTTTCCCCCCTGGAATCGAAAGAGAGCTAAAAAGCTCTCTAGCTCCCTCTTGGGAGTATAAATCCTATTTTGAAAACCGTATCCCATAGTATCCTGAAGACTAAGGCCAGGTCTACACTATAAACTTGCATCGGTATAACTATATCACTCGAATGTGAAAAATCTACAACCCTGAGCGATAGTTATATTGACTGAGACCCGGTGTGGCTGGGGCAGCCCTCACTGAAAATGCAAAGGGCAGGGCAGGCTTCAAAAGGGAGAGCGGATACTCCCAAGACTGGTGGGTAACACTGAAAGTAAACCTCCCAACCAGTCACAAACTGTGCTTCTGATCCCCACACTGGTTATCAAGAAGACAAAAAAAAGAAATCACAGTCCCCTTTATTGAATTCCAGTTTTCTGGCTCCCAGTCAGCACATAGGTCCTATACAGTGCGACATTATTTTAAAAATTCTGCTCACATATACAAAATGTTCTTCTGACCCCAAAGGGTCAGCCACGTTACCAGGTTTGGATCTTATCCAAAATACCACCCTGCCCACCAATCCTTTAGTGTCTAAAACTCAAGGTTTATTATAAAGGAAGAACAAGAAGAGAGTTGTTAAATGGTAAAACAGTCGTATACATACAAAGACTTCAAAGTCCATATATCAGGTTCCTAGCAGTATTGGTGGGTTTGCTGGCTTAAAAGTCCTCTGGAACACATCCACAGCTTGGATGGGTCAGTCAGTCCTTTGTTCAGAGTTTCGTTTGTAGAAAAGTTACTCCAGAGGTAAGAAGCAGGATTGAAGACAAAATGGAGAAGATGCAGCTGCCTTTTATAGTCTTTTGCCATGCGGTCTGTGCTTCCGTTGTTCCAAACTCAAGCTGCCTATCACATGGCTTGGAAGCCTTAGAGTTCTGCCCCTGCATACCTTGCTGAGTCATAATTTGTATCCCTTGCCTTCTCTCACTGGGTCAGTTGTATAGCTGATAGTCCTTAATGGGCCATCAAGCAGGCTAGGCAGTGCTGATGCCAAACTGTCTGGGGGTGTCACCCAGAAGCATAGCACAAGTTTTGTAATACAGACATACATACGTATCCACTTAAATGTATACCATAAATTAAAAAAAATAGAAAAGAGCCACTGTGGCTAAACAACAAAGTAAAAGAAGCAGTGAGAGGCAAAAAGGCATCCTTTAAAAAGTGGAAGTTAAATCCTAGTGAGGGAAATAGAAAGGAGCATAATTAATCTGGCAAATTAAGTGTAAAAATATAATTAGGAAGGCCAAAGACTCAAAGTAATAGCAAAAAAAAATGTTAAGTATATCAGAAGCAGGAAGCCTGCCAAACAGGCTGCTAGTGGGGCCACTGGACGATCGAGATGCTAAAGGAGCACTCAAGGACGATAAGGACATTGTGGAGAAACTAAATGAATTCTTTGCATTGGTCTTCACAGTTGAGGATTTGAGGGATATCCCCAAACCTGAGCCATTCTTTTTAGGTGACAAATCTGAGGAACTGTCCCAGATTGAGGTGTCATTAGAGGAGGTTTTGGAACAAATTATTACAAACAGTAATAAGTCACCAGGACCAGATAGTATTCACCCAGGAGTTCTGAAGGAACTCAAATGTGAAATTGCAGGACTACTAACAGTCTGTAAGCTATCATTTAAATAAGCTTCTTTACCAAATGACTGGAGGATAAGTAATGTGAAGCCAATTTTTTAAAATGGCTCCAGAGGTGATCCTGGCAAGTACAGGCCAGTAAGCCTGACTTCAGTACTGGGCAAACTGGTTGAAACTATAGTAAAGAACAAAATTGTCAGACATGTAGATGTACATAATTGTTCGGGGGAGTAGTCAACATGTTTTTTGTAAAGAGAAGTCATGCCTCACCAATCTACTAGAATTCTTTGAGGGGGTTAACAAGCATGTGGACATGGGGGATCCAATGGATATAGTGTATTTAGATTTTCAGAAAGCTCTCACCAAAGGCTCTTAAGCAAAGTAAGTAGTCATGGGCTAAGAGGGAAGGTTCTCTCATGGATTGGTAACTGGTTAAAAGATAGGAAACAAAGGGTAGGAATAAATGGTTAGTTTTCAGAATGGAGAGAGGTAAATAGTGGTGTCCCCCAGGGGTCTGTAATGGGACCAGTCCTATAGAACATATTCATAAAAGATCTGGAAAAAGCAGTAAACAGGGAGATGGCAAAATTTGCAGATGATACAAAATTCCTCAAGATAGATAAGTCCCAGGCAGACTGCAAAGAGCTACAAAAGGATCTCTCAAAACTAGGTGACTGGGCAACAAAATAGCGGATGAAATTCAGTGTTGATAAATGCGAAGTAATGCACATTGGAAAACCTAATACCAACTATATATATAAAATGATGGGGTCTAAATTAACTGTTACCACTCAAGAAAGAGATCTTGGAATCATTGGTGATAGTTTTCTGAAAACATCAACTCAATGTGCAGCAGCAGTCAAAAAAGCTAACAGAATGTTGGGAATCATTAAGAAAGGAATAGATAATAAGACAGAAAATATCATTTTGTCTCTATATAAATCCGTGGTACACCCACATCTTGAATACTGTGTGCAGATGTGGTTGCCCCGTCTCAAAAAAGATATATTGGAAATGGTTCAGAGAAGGGCAACAAAAATGATTAGGGGTATGGAACACCTGCCATATCAGGAGAGATTAATAAGACTTGGACTTTTCAGCTTGGAAAACCGACAACTAAGGTGGGATATGATAGAGGTCTATAAAATCATGACTGGTGTGGAGAAAGCAAATAAGGAAGTGTTATTTACTCCTGCTCATAACACAAGAACTAGGGGCCACCATATGAAATTAATAGGCAGCACGTTTAAAACAAACAAAAGGAAGTGTTTTTTCAGACAACGCACAATCAACCTGTTTGTTGATTGTTGGAACTGCTTGCCAGAGAATGTTTTGAAGGCCAAGAGTATAATAGGGTTCAAAAAAGAACTAGATAAATTCATGGAGGATAGGTCCATCAATGGCTATTAGCCAGGATCGGCAGGGATGGTGTTCCTAGCCTGTATTTGCCAGAAGCTGGGACAGGGGATGGATCACTTGATGATTACCTGTTCTGTTCATTCCCTCTGGAGCACCTGACATTGGCCATTGTCGGAAGATAGGATACTGGGCTAGATGGACCTTTGGTCTGTCCCAGTATTGCCGTTTTATGTTCTTCTATCAATACCCCAAAATACAAATGTGATACAAACACATAAACGAGATCATCATATCTGGCAAATTGTAACATCTTTGCAGATATCTTTCATGGCATATCTGGCATAACTCATTGCAATTTTACAGTATTGGTATTCATAATATCCTAAAGTGTCCCCCAGATTCCATACAGCGTCGCACTGACCTAACCGCCAGGTGTAGACAGCACTGTTTCAATGGGAGGACTTCTCTGAGCAACATAGCTACCGCCTCTCATGGAGGCAGATTAACTATGCTGATTGGAGAAGTTCTCCCTTCGGCGTAGCACCGTTTTCACTCAAACGCTACATCGGCGCAACTGCACCTGTGCAGATGCACCGCTGAAGCGTTTTAAGTTTAGACCTGCCTGAACTTGGAAGATTACTTCACCTTTGCATAGAAAAGGATGATCACAAATGTCCAAACTAGAACTTGCTTAAATTATTAATTCTTTGGGGTAGGAGGCTGACTTTTTTTGTTCTGTTTACACAGTGTCTATCACAATGGGGTCCTAGTCCATGACAGGAACTCCTAGGTGCTACAGTAATACAAATAAAAAATAATTGTAATAGGATTTAACACACAGTGGAATGCACTTTCATGTATACACTGTATATCAAATTTTAAATAGTGCAAATTCGCATGAGATTAGGTGGATTTGCTGCTACTATTGCTCTATTGCTTTTATATATCTGTTTTTAAACATGTCACTCTTTCCATTTTTGTATTTAAAAACTTAAACTAATTAAGTGTATTTCCATTTACAGACGCTTTATGACAGTGTGTACCTGACTTTATACAACATTAGTTTCACTTCTTTGCCTGTTCTGATGTACAGTCTTTTTGAACAGCATGTTCACCCTCATGTGTTACAGAGCAAGCCAACACTCTATAGGTATGCATACCCTTTGTACCTAAATGTGGACCTAGTAGAATGTCAGTAGTAAAACTTACTAATAAAGTAAAATAAAGTGGTGTCTTCTGTAGTTATATCTTAATGTGCTAAAATTACTGCATTTGCTTAGATTCCCCAGTATTTGTATAACTTATTAACAAGATAATCAGAAGAAAAACTTGTAAAAATGAGGTTTCCAATATTAAAGGTTAGTTTTCAAAAATATTTTTGTGATTCAAGAGACACATCTGTTATATCCAATCCCATGTTAAGATTTGAAAAGAATGAGCTCTTCTTCGAATGATGGTGGTCCCTATGGTATTCCACTGAAGGTTTACACATGTGATCCTTGCATCCAGAGTCAGAGAATCTGAAAG